AGACTCACTATTTTTTTCCTTTAATTATATTTTTTGAATTAGATAATGATTTAATTTAATGGCAATTTCATCAATTAATAATATAGGGGAAAAAGGTTGTTTCAGTTTTAAACTGATAGCTTTTGGCTATTCTGAACTGTAAATATGAAACTGAATCCATTCTTGTTCTTTAGGATTGTCTTCTTTGTCCTACAGGGTTTTTAGTCAATATGGCCACAATGGTAATGCTTGGGAGCATTGCCTCTTTCTTGGCTGCCGGTGACAAACCTTTGAATGATGAAAAAGTTGCCATTTTTTCTGATGCACTTAACCATGCATCTATAATTGATGGTATTTGTCTTGCTGGAAGGCAAAGGAGTATAGAACTCTTTGTATATAGACGTTGTGACATGTCCCACCTCAATGCACTTCTGTAGGTTCTTCCCTTTTCACTTTAATTATCTGCTAACTGAAGACCTACTTTTTCTATTTGTTTTGTTTTCCTAATTAATGCTCATTCAATGCCTCTGCCTGTTTTTGACACATCAAGTTGCAAAATGAAGAAGAAGGTCGTTGTCACTGATAGGTTGTGGAACTCACTTTCAGTACAACTTTTTTAGTTCTTGATGCTTCATTATGTTTAGAAGAACAACTACTTAAATAGTTTTAGAATTGCAATTCCTGTTTCCCTCCTCTGTGCTTGAGGCTGCCAAAAAATATTAAGAAATCTTCACGTTAAAAGCAGCAAGTCTTTTGCATTGCATGGGCTACTGAGAATCTTAGATAATAAATAATAGGTTAACATACCAATTTGATCCCTCAACTTTGAGATTTGTACCAAAATTCTCTAAACTTTGAAAAGTACTAAAATTGTCCCTAAACTTTAATTTATGGTACCAAAATAATCCTCAAACTTTGAAGATAGTACCAACTTAGTCCTTGAACTTTGAAGACAATTACTAACTTAGTCTTTGAACTTTGATTAGAAATACCAATTTAGTCCTTTAAATTTTGATTATAGATCGATCAGATGTATAGATAGAAATATGTTGTAATGGCAAAATATAATTGTTTGACTTTACATGTCTTTATTATTTTAAAAAAGAGCTGATTTGTGGCAAAATAATGAGTTATATGGCATTTCTGTTAACGGAAGGACTATTTTGGTATTGAAAATTAAAGTTTAAGGAGAATTTTGGTATTTTTTGAAGTTGAGGGACCAAATGTGTATTTAAATCTAAATAATATCTCTGACTCTCAGCCTATATTGTACAACCTAGTGAAAATGGTACGGGTTGATTAAGCTATGCAGGCAGCATTGCTTTAAAGAAAATGAGGAAAAATTTACAGGAAATGGGTGGTGGTCTAGGGGACTTGCTTGATGCTTGTTGTTTTAAAGTTAAAAGGGCGGTATAAGAATGAATATCTGACATATACACTTCTAAGGTTTTTGAATTAAATTCAAGTCTCAGTTGAATTTATGATCATTTTGAGTTCCTGAATTATCAGTAACCCGACTTTGGCTTTCAGTAATTTCATTCATGCTGTTCTGAATGGTCCTATAAAATATACTTGCATGTTTTGAACTGTTTATGGATATAACCATGACTTGCATGTTAGAATCCTGTGTATAAACTTGGCTTTTGGTAGGCGTATCTATTTGTTACGTTTGTTATCTTTTACTTCTAATATCTCTATCTCGACAGTTTGTCACCCAATTCTTTTAATGCATCTGTTCAATAGGTTCCTTTTATGGGCTTCATTCTCTCATTTTACAGCTTGTTTAGCATGGATGGAGACTTCGCACCAATGATTGAACTTGCAGAGCTTCGCAAGAAGCATAATTTTTTGTTTGTTATTGACGATGTATGCTCTTTTGAACTTTTAATGGTTTATATAATTGTAAGAAGCTGTTCAGTATCTGCTTCATAGATGTGACACTTGTTGGGGATTGAATTTCACCTCTCAATACAAGCTTTTCTAGTCATAGAAGCAGTCAAACCTTGTGATTTAGACTTGGGGGAAATGGTCTAGGTTCAGACTCTGAACTTTATTTATGTTAATTTGACTCAATTTACTCCCATTTCACCATCCTATAGTTGAGCTTGGACATTAGACAAATATGACAGTGACTTCCTTTTCACATGCTTTGCAAATTTATGCCTCAAAAAGCTAAGTATTCAAGTGGTTCTTCTCAGGCACATGGAACATTTGTTTGTGGAAAGAATGGTGGAGGTGTGGCTGATGAATTCCACTGTGAAAGAGATGTTGACATATGCATTGGAACTCTGAGCAAGGCAGCTGGTTGTCATGGTGGATTCATAGCTTGCAGGTAATCTTGACTGCAGAC